TGGTTATGCCACAGCCACCATGAAAACATCTCCTCGGACACAAAATACTGAATTCATAAACAATGCAGAGGGTTCAAGGCAACTGAGAGGACACAGGGAAGAGATCTGTGCTCTGTGTTCAATACCAAAGGTAAGAGAGAGAAGCAGCCGGAACTCTGAGACGATGCCGCCCTCTTTTGAGGGCCACCTATGCCTAGGTACTCACTTGGGAGGAGATAAGGGGGCATCAGAAATTGATCTCTGAGCTGTAGTATCTCCTTTATGCTCTTCTAAATAAAGAATCATCTATGGAAGTTGGCCTGCTTCAAAATGAACAACCACAAAAGGCCAACTCTTATCTGGGTCAGCTAGATAATTACTATTTGTCCAGTTAAGTATTGCATGGACCGATCTATTTTAGATTTATGCCTCTTGAATATTTAATCAGGCATATTAATAACATATATTAATACTTGATGATGTGAACCATACATGACTAATATGAGGGATTATGTTGTCTTCTCTTCCTCCAAACTGTTGAGTAGCCTGGGCATTTGACAAGCTCTTCATCTCCTTAAAGTCTTTCGTAACCTGTTTCCCTGATTCTACTTTTGGCCCCGACCGCAGCCTGTTCATAATAGAGTGGCCTGTGTGCTTCTTTTTACCGTAAGGTCACCTGTATTACTTCCGTGTTAAAACTCCCACAGTGGTTTTACTCAGAACAAAATCTTCACAAGTCGCCAGGTAATCTGCCCCGACCTGCTCCTCTGCAGCCACACCACACGTCTACTTCTGGATTTTCCCCCTGGGCTGTTAGCAATTTCCTCTTCCTGGAACGCTCCTGCCCACGAGATCCACCTTACTCACTGTCTCCTCAGGGTCTGCTCACAGATCAGCTTCTCAGGGGCATGTTTCCTGAACATTCCTGCCAGTTTTATTATTTTCTTATCTTGTCTATCTTGCTCAATTAGAGTGCAAGTCCAGTGATGTCAGAGACATTGGTTTTGTTCACTGATATATTCCAAGTGTCTAGAACAGTGCTCAGCTGGGGTGTGCATTCAGTAAATATGTGTTCAATGAATTAATGAAAATAAATGAATGAGTGAGTGAAAATTTCCCGCTTTCCACTTACCTGAGTTTTGCTATAAATTTATTAGACACCTATGAATCCAACTTAATTTTCTGTATTTTTAAACTCTGAAAACATTTATATAAAGACTTGTTTAAAGAAGTTGGGGAAGAGGAACTAGGGAGCCAAAGAGTTTTTTTTAAAAATGACTGTATAGTTTTATTATGCCCATTACAAGAAGTTCAGGCAACATAATGCAAAGAGGAAAGTTTTCATGAACTTTTTATAGCAAACTCAAAATCATACCACCCGGACGGAAGCATTATTAACATTATATAAATATCAATGCAGACATCTCCCTTGATATAGGGAGAAATTCACGACACAGGTGTTACAGATTAACGATACTGTAGACCTCTCTGTGTCTCTGTTACGTGTGTGTGTGTGCACTGCTAGTGTGCAAATACTTCAGGCAGATAGGCTGGAGACATGTGTTTGGTTGTAATGAGTTTACATGTTAAACTCTCATGACATTTGATTCTAATGGGGCGCCTGGGTGGCTTAGTCGGTTAAGCGTCCGACTTTCGCTTAGGTCATGATCTCGCGGTTCGTGGGTTCGAGCCCCGCGTCGGGCTCTGTGCTGACTCCCTCTCTCTCTGACCCTCCCCTGCTCACACTGTCTCTCTCTCTCTCCTAGAAATAAATAAAAAAATAAAAAAATAAAAAATATATATGTATGCGTTGACTTGATATAGTAATAATTAAAGCCAAAATAGAAACATAAAGGCAATTTAAACATCAGTATTCGTTTATATGAGTGAGTTCAAAGTGAGTGACTAAAGAGTTGCATTTAAAAACTCATGAAATCAACAAAGCTTTAGGAAGTAACCGTGTATCTACATACATTTGAAGTCAAAAGCTACAGAAGTATTATGCGAATGTTATATATATGTATATATGTAATGTCATATATTTATGCATATGTAGTTAGCAGAGATGCTTAGGTATATAGATGTAGGTGACAAGTGGGAAGATTTTTACAAAATGTATTCTCATTTAAAATCAGTTAAATTTCATGTAGTGTAATATTTATCAGAAAAAGGTAAGAAAGAAATTCAAGTTTGGACACATTTTTCTTTATCATAAGAGATACTTCATTCCAGAAGATCTCTAAAGTTTTACGGGAATAATGTTCAGGGAGCAGTTGTTACAAGTCTTAAAACACATAATTCATTTTTATATTTCCTCGATTTATGATCCCTGATAAGAGAAAGGAATTAGTACAGTTATATTTCATTCCACATTAATATTGCATTCCACATTTTTAGTACTCACATATGTCTCTAAAATATTCCCCAGGAATACAGAAAAAGGCACAAGTTCAATAGACACATTGCTTCATTGTAGAAAAACACAGTTTATGCATATATAAATGATTTCCTTGGAACATATTTAATCAATGTATGAGCAGTTATAAATTATTAAAGTGCAGTATTAGGACTGCAATATATTTTACAATGTACTCATATTTGTTTTTGATCTGTGAACTAATATTACTAGTGAGAAATCTCTAATCTTTTCACAAATTTGTTAAATGTTTTGAATGAATTAGAGGCAGGGAAGAAGCTTATTAATGCAAACATTTAACCAAATTAATAATAAGCATCATCATAGTTTCTGGAACAGTGACTATGTGCTCCAAACTGGGCTGCGATTTGACTACAAGCATTAGTGCGTTTAATGCACTAAACATCCTGTGTAGCAGAGTTCCTCATTTTGTGGTTACCCTTTCATGGCTTCTTGTGGTCTAAGATTTTGCAGTTTGTAAGTAAAGGGGCTGGAAACCAAAGGGAAACATCCGTGCTCTTTGTCACTGTGTTATTACCGTTCGTGCCTGTAACAGCTGTCAGGAGTATAAGTGGTTGGACTCCAAGGCTGGCCGGCTGGCCTGCCTGCCTGCCTGCCTGCCTGCCTGCCTGCCTTCCTTCCTTCCTTCCTTCCTTCCTTCCTTCCTTCCTTCCTTCCTTCCTCTGTCTCTCTCTGTCTCCCTCTCCCTCCCTCCCTCCCTTCTTCCCTCCCCTTCCCAGTTCCCTCCCCTCCCCTTCCCTCCCCTCCCCTATTTTGTTAATGGAGCCTAAGTCTCTTAGGAAAGGAATCCTAAGACACAGAACATTGTTCCACGTCCGTGTCCTCGTGCAGACAGCCTCTACGGGTTCTGGGGAGAAGACATTCTTTTCTTTATTCTTCAGCAAGGATCTCATCAGAAAAGATACTGCAAGGCAGACAGACCAGTGGGTGTGAGCTGGCAGAAAAGGAAGAGAATGAACAGGACCTTTAATAAGAGAGACTCGCCAACGTGAGGCCATACACAGTGGGAAGCAAACCGACAAAGCGTTTCACTGTGTTTCCTGGTGCGCACGCGGCACAGCCATTGTGCCCGGGTTCAATATCACGACGTGTTTTTTGACAAGGGCACACTCAGCACATACCAGACCCTTTAGACAACATTTTTAATTTTTTTTAATTTACTTTTTTCACTTTTGTAAATTTAAATTAAGTTAGGTAACATAGAGTGTAGTCTTGGCTTCAGGAGTAGAACCCAGTGATTCATCTCTTACATATGATCCCCAGTACTCATCCTGACAAATGCCCTCCTTAGTGCTCATCACCCATCTAGTCCATCTCCCCACCCAACACCCTTCATCAACCCTCAGTAGTTCTCTGTATTTGAGAATCTCTTATGGGGGCACCTGGGTAGCTCAATTGGTTGAGCCTCCAGCTTTATCTCAGGTCATGATCTTGCTCAGAACTTATGTCTGTGAGTTTGAGCCCCACGTCAGGCTTTGTGCTAACAGCTCAGAATGTGGAGCCTGCTTTGGATTCTCTGTCTCCTTCTCTCTCTGCCCTTTCTCCTCTCTCTCTCTCTCTCTCTCTGTGTCTCTCTCTCTTTCAAATAAATAAATATAAAAAAATTTAAGAATCTCTTACGATTTGCCTCCATCTCTTATTTTATCTTCTTTTTCCTTCTCTTCCGTGTGTTGGAAAGGGCCTCACAGCGTGGACTCCGAACAAAGTGTTGAATCTATAGATAAATTCAAAAACATTTGCCGTGTGTAGTTATTAAAATCAATTCATTTGCATTTGAATGTCTATAAATATTTAATAATACACATTCTGATGTTAATCTCAATAGTTAACAATATAGTTTTTAATAAGGAACAGATATTAAGGAAATTACCATTCATGGCAATACAAACTTGTACTTTTGATTGAAATCAAATCATGCAAATTATATTTTCCAGAAGATTACCTATAGGTTAACATTATTCTGTCTTTTCTCTGGAGTGTTACTGATACCATACCAAATGATAGATCTCTCTATGGTTTGTATTCACCTAAGTAGCTTCTGAGACTGGCATGCAGTTTTTTTGTTTTGTTTTGTTTTTTTAACCTGGTAAACCTGCCATAACAAAACATCTCTACATTCTCCTGTGGCTGGAATGCTCTAACACTCTTGATGCCCTGAAGGAAACAGGTGTCCTAGCCTGGGTGTACAGCTATATGTCATGGAGCCCAGAATCTAGTGGAAGGTATAATTTATATCACCAACCATGTGAACTCAAGAGTTCTAAGCCCCACCCCCACCACCTCCTATAAAGCAGAGACAGCTTGATTTGTACAGCATGTGGGCAATTCCCATGAGAGCCAGAAAGCTCAAATGGTATCATAAATTCAAAGGGTCTAGAATTCAACAGGACATGGTCGATGACCTCTTTCTATGTTATTCAGCCTCTAGCATCATTGGGATGTAAATGCTGAAAAAATATAGAGAATTTTTTTCAAGTGTTCATGTTCAGTAAACATTAGCAAAAATCAGGCCATCATCATTTTTCACTTACTACATGTCATTTCAAGTTGAGAGTGAAGGTCATGTTTGTACTTTGATGTATAGGATTTTGGATCGGTATGTTCAGGAGCAGATTCCTGGTGCCAAAGTGGTGGTGGAGTCCATCGGTGCTCGCAGGCACGGGGATGCCTTTTCACTGGAAGATTACACCAAATGTGACCTGACCGTCTATGCAATCGACCCCCAAACCAACAGAGCCATCGACAGAAATGAGCTTTTTAAGTAAGTCCGTTTTTGTCTAGAACAGCTCTCTGTTGGCAATATTGCCTATAGATGATCCTGATTTAAGGCTGTAAGTATTAAAGTTTTAAACCCACTAAATTGTTATTGAAAGTGAAGCATAAGCAGAAAACCAGGCAATACCTAGGGTACGCATCCGGAGATATTTTCAGGCCTGGGTGTGGGAAAGAGCGACTGTGGAGAAGGTCAGGAGGTCCATCATGCTTGTAAGCAAGGTGCAATTCATAGAGATGGTCTCAGGGTAGCTCCACCCTTGCTCCCAAGGCCTGGTCCTCAGAAGGGGGAAAGCACAGACTCCTTCTATTGGTGGTTTGCCCGCGACAGTGTCAGTAGGCATGACTTTTAAGAATAAATACAGCTTTCCTCAAGGTCTTATTGACTCAGCAAAAATTACTATCTTTTTTTCCCCTTTGACCCCTTCCACCTCAGTCCATACTTTCCATCTGTTTATTTCATCATAGTGAATCTGAATATTGATGTATGAATCCCAAAAGTAAAGAAAATGGAGAATTTTAAGCAAAACGCTGCTACATGTTGTCCCTAGAACAGGATTTGGGGACAGCCTAGGACTTGGTCGTGATTGTTGTTGTATTAGTTTCCGCTTCGCTGTAGTGACACCTAGTGTCCAGCAGATTCTTGGAATGCAATTTGTATTTAAACTAAAACACATTTTTAGGTAAACAGTATATAATGGATATATAATCATATGTATGTTTTCTAAATATTTATTGGTATTTGTGTATATATGTGCCCAAATACATAATTCCAAAATTTAGTTTATCTCTATATATTAAAGAGCAACAAATAGATATATATATATTTATATATGTGTGTATTATAAATGTGATATATATATATATATATATATATGATATATATATATCCATACCTGGCTGCATTTACATATTTAGTGAATGTCTGTTTACCAATTTATTTATTAAAACCCATACATTCTGAATTTAGTCTTACTTTAAATCTCTTCTCCAACAAAATTTCATGGCTGCTGTTTTAGAAATAATGACATAGTGATTTTACATCACCTTCATTTTTAAAAGAACCATAGTTATTAAGTATGTTACTCATCAGTGTATATTTAATAGAAATTTTGGCCCTATGCAAGATAGCATGTGAATCATGGTGGAGAAATAGGGATGACTAAAGCAATGGCTTCTTCTCAAGTTCTAGAATCAACATCCAAACCAAGTAGCATTTAATCACCAAGCCAATTTTTGCATATTGTATTAATTTTAAAATTTATTTAGAAAAATACTTGAAAGATATATATATATATAATTGTCATTATTAACATTTATTTAAATCCATCTGTTCTATGTTTTTATATGCATTGGCTTAAATTTTAAATGTGATTGATAGATTGTTTGAATTTAGGGTGTTTTTCCTAACTATAAAAACATGTGTGTTCTTTAGGCTGTTAGCCCAGCATTAAAGAGTAAAGTAATAATGAAGATCATTTGTATTGCACATGTAAAAGTTTTAGAGGTAAGCAATTTGGAAACTGAAGCCAAGTAGGTTTCAACTGATACAATGAAGTACAAGATAAACACCCTTAATTCTAAACAAGTTTTCCCAAACCTACATTATATTGTACAGAATAAAGATAGAAATTTAATTGAATAACAATTACAACTGGAAGGAAGGGGAAAATAGAGAATAACTATAAATCAAAATTTTTATACTAAAGAGAGAATTGAACAGCTATGAAGTATTAAAATGTTTCCTTAGCAATAAATAAACTTAAAAAAAGAGCAGGGGGCAGTGCCTGGGTGGCTCAGTTGGTTAAGCATCTGATTTCAGCTCAGGCCATGATCTCACAGTTCATGAGTCTGAGCCCCACAGCAGGCTCTGTGGTGCAGAGCCTGCTTCGGATTCTCTTTCCCTCTCCCTGTACACCTCCCATACTCACTCTCTTTCTCTCTTTCAAAATAAATGAGATGAAATGAAATAAATAAAATAAAATAAAATAAAATAAAATAAAATAAATTTTCCCTTAGCAGCTTGAGCTAGTAGCTGAGAGACACTATTAGTTTAACATATTATTAGTTAATTATTATTAATATAATAACCTAAACCCTAGAATTCTTCCTTGAAATATTTTATAATGAAATTATATAGATATATTTCATAATCCAAGGCTCATAGTCTACTGATATTATTATATATCCTGTAATTACAAGAGCTATTGGAAAATTAGTTTTTGACACTGAACAAATATACCAGAACATTAAGATTATTGCCTGGTGCCCAGACCAATGGAAATAGGATTATTCTTTCAATGTCCCCTTATCTTAAAATCTAAGCTTTTAAAGATGTTGGAATTCTCAGGCCAAAGAATTAGAAATAAATAAACAAAAAAGGTCTTTCCTCCAACGAGTCCACTTTGATTTTTAAAAATTGATATAACTAGGGGCACCTAGGTGGCTCCGTCGGTTAAGCATCTGACTCTTGATTTAGGCTCAGGGCTTGATCTCATGGTTCTTGAGTTCAGGCCCCACATCTGGTTCTGCACTGATAGTGTAGAGCCTCCTTGGGATTCTCTCTCTCTCCTTCTCTTTCTGCCCTTCCTCCTTCTACTTCTCTCTCTCAAAGTAAGTAAACTTAGAAAATGAAAAAACATTGATTAGTTGTATCACATCTTCTTTTAAATCTTATAAATGCATAGAGGAGACTGAAATCACTATAATGACATGCAAATTACTTATTTTGTTTGACAAGGTTATAAGTGTCTGGATTTTTGTTATTTTGGGTTATTTGAATTACTTAGATTTTTGCAGTAAATATATATTACTTTTATTCTGCTTTTATTCATCTGGGTTCTTTGAACTTCTCGAAACTGCCTTTGTTATTTGTTCTTGTTTTGTTTTTTTTTATGTTGTTTCTATTTCTGGAACATCCTTAGACATCATCTTTTCAAATATTTCTTATAACCCATTCTCTCTTTATCCTCTTTAAGGGATTCCAGTTAAAATTCATTTTTTCTCTGAGCTTTTGGATGTTCTATTCTTGTTCTTCCTCCCCTTCCCCTCTCCTTTTTTCTTTGTATGTTGCTTCGGATAATTGCTGCTGCCTTGTTCTCAGGTTCACCGACTGATCTGTGTTAGCCTGGTGATGTGCTCATTAAAGGAATTCTTCATCTTTATATCTTTATTTTCTTTAAACTCCTCCATTTCTAGTTCCTTCTTTTTTTTTTACAGTTTCCACCACTTCATTGAACGTCCTATCACTTCAAGCATGTTTTCCTCACTTTCCGCTCGAGTCAGTAGAGCACTAAGCAGGGCTGTATCAAAGTCTGTCTGATGTCCCAGCATCTGGGCTGTGTCTGGTCTGGCTCCATGGCTTTAGCAGTCAGCAGGCCCCACGAGCCTATGCCACCAGGGCCTTCTCTGCATTCTCTTAACCCTCCTTGCTCATGCCCTGGTCCTCACAGCTTAGCCCTGCTCTCACAGTGGGGTTGCGGCCGCATGGACTGGGGCTCTCTGTCCTCGTCCAGCCTGCATGCCTGGGATGTGGGCTGGGTTCTCTCAGCTCTTTTCTTCCTCCTCCCTGTGGCAGCCACAATCTGTGCCATATTTGTAGTGCGTTTTGGGTACTGGAGAGCTCCCTGCCTCTCCCAACCAGTAGGTGACCTCTCTGTGCCCAAGAGAGCTCCCATTCCTCACCCTGGGGATCAGAGTTTTCCTTATACCTCTTCCTTGGAAGCAGCCTGATCCCTAGGGCTTAGAATATGTCCCCCCATCTTCTTCCTGTGGCTCAAGGCTCTTGCTTTGCATGAGATACAGGCATAGAGAATCGGTACGTGCCCAGCCGTAGCTGACTGCTTCTTCTATGGCTGCACCGGAAGGAGATTCCTTTCCTGTCTCCAGCCTTGTCCCCAGTGTATCTGACTGAGGTCCTTGGAAACAGTTTGCAAGTGAGTACAAAGCAGACCCCCTATTGTGTTCAACGGTCTCTAGCCTTACATGTTGATACACATGTAGCTTCCAAAATTTCAGTGTAATTGTAGCTCATTTCTTTCATTTGCTTTTTTGACAGCTACCTTTTCCTTATTCTGTGAAAGCTGAGACCATGGTCTCATGTCCCTGTGGAGTGTCCCTGTCACTCTTTGGAGTTTGTTATTAGTATTATCTGGCTTTTTGTCATAAGGGTGAGAGTCGCATCCTTTCAGGGCTTCCTGCATCTGTGGTGGAAACAGACCGTGCTCCCTGAAAACAGAACTTACTTAACTATGTGTTTATAATAGCAAATACAAGTTTAGCTCGTGCCCCTTTTTGAACATTCAGCCTGTTTAACATTAACCTGTCCAGCTCATAAATGAGAAATGCAGAAGAGGGTAGAAAAATCCTGACTACTGCACAAACTGCATTTAAAATATAGTGTATAGGGGCACCCGGGCACCAGTTGGTTGAGCGTCTGACTCTTGGTTTGAGCTCAGGTCATGATCTCACAGTTTGTGAATTCAAGCCCCATGTTGGGCTCTGTACTGACAGCGCAGAGCCTGCTTGGGATTCTCTCCCTCTGCACCTTCCCCACTCACACAAACTCTCTCCCTTTTTCTTGCTCTTTCAATATAAATAAATAACCTTTACAAACAAAAATAAATAGAATATAGTGTACAAAACCACATTTATACTTTAAAATAGAATCTGACTGCCAAACTCTAAAGCTTCCTTCACATTCTTAAGACCAGGGAAAACAACATAAAAGTTAAGAACACTAAAAATTTAAATAATGGAAAGCCAATTATCAGACTCCAGTTTACTACACAATATTAAGGAATATAAGTTAGCCTGTAACTTGGAACTGTGTAAAGTAAATAGTGGTCTGCCCGTGGTTTGCTTTATTAAGCCGAAAGACCTTATCCAAGTGGAATGGGCATGGGCAGGCATGTGAAGCACCACTTGCTCTGCATACCTGGATCAGGGACCCAGACTGCGTACCTACTGGGGAAAGAGGTAGCTGTCCCT